TTAATCAACCTTTAAGATGCATTATAAAATTAGGAAAGGATCCAATTGATAAGTGGAATGAAATGAATATAATTTATAAATTTAATTGCAAAAACTGTCTAGCGAATTACATTAGAGAATCAAATCGCGGATTATACAGAAAAATGTTTAAAAATTCAAACATTACATATAATAATTTCAAGTTAGAAATAATTTTATTCAGTTTAATAATTATTAATAAAAAAAGTGTGCATTTATTTAATGTTCGGTAGTGTTCAACTGATTGTAAGAAGAAAAAACTTATTTTCATTTGTAAAAGTAAGTAATCTTTTTTTTATTAAACTAATTAAGGAAAAAGAAGCATAATAAAACTAAAAACTTTGGAATATAATAAATATATTGCTTAAGAAATTTTTTTCTTTGGAAACGAATGAATTCATCTATTTTTATAATTTAAATATTAAAAAAATGTACTCCTCATGTTAATATTGACTATTGCCATAGTAACTGTTGACATAGCAACTATTGCCATAACAACTATTGACATAGCAACTAATGCCATAGCAACTATTGCCATAGTAACTTTTGCTATGCTAACTATTGTTATGCTAACTATTGTTATAGTAAGTAACTGTTGCCATGGAAGCGGTTACCATGTACGACGGACGGACGAACGCCAAAACGAAACCATAAGGCTTTCAGCCCTGGGTTACGAAACCCTAAAAATTATTAAAACTTGCGGTGTACTGTAAAATCCCAAAACTTTGACCTCCTCCCCCTCGGAAAATACGGATCTATAATTTAAAGGAAAAAAAATTTTTTCCAAAAATTAACATTTATGAGAACTACAACTACATCGAGTGTAAGCATGTTTGAAGAAAAAATTTTTTTAACCTTGATCACTTAACGTGTTATCCCCCATTACCATTTGGATATTCAAGATATCTTAGGAATGTCCAGAGGATGACCGGAAAGTTTAACATCCCTAGGATGTCTCAGGTATATCCGTAGATATCTTGAGGACATCCTAGAGATATACAAATTTCCGGATGCGGGTAGGACGTCCATAGGATATTATTAAAAGTCCGTTGCTGTTAGGGGGTAATATAAAATTCTTACATTAAATGTCTTTCAAATCACATAAGAATTATGTCAAGATAATGACTAGTAAGAATCAGATTACATAACATAAGGCTATTTAAAATATCAATAAATTTAAGCACCATTAAATTAAAATATTTTAAAATTTGTAATACTATTTTAGGGTGAATTATACGATTTTGTCTATGGTTCAAAAATTAGAAATTTTAAAGATTTTCATTTTACCTGGATAAGATTCTAGACGGTTAAAAAAATCCAGAAATTTTCATCCTCTAGGAAGAAAAGTGTTCATGAAATATGATCATAAGAAGTTATGCATACGGAAATGAATGCAAAGAGGTACTACAACTTAGCCGGGGTTTTTAAGCTTCATATTATCATTTTTTTAAAAACTTTTCTGTAATAATAAATTGTAATTTTTTAAAAAAAAAAGAAGTTAAAAAAATTATTAAGATGAAAATCTTTATTTGACGAAATATTATATTAAATTCTTCATTTTTACTTACCAAACAATTGAAGGCGTAAAAGACTCAAAAATTTCACTTACCTGAAACAAATAAACAAATAAAAACATTATTTCGAACTAGTTATCAAATAAAAAATAAAATTGGACATTAAATTTTTCTAATTACTAATTTTTATTCTTTATAAACATCAATGAATGATTTTTTAAATTATTTTTGTTTTAATTTTTAAATTATTTTTTCTAATTATTAATTTTCTTTTTATATAAATAGAAACCAATGTTTTTTCCCCCAGAACAGTTACAGAGATTTGTTGTACCTATTAAAATTCTGCATTCAATTATAATCAGTGTTACAATAACATGTGTTTACAGAAAATTACCAACTAGAAATGATTTGTATAACTGTTAAGCAAATATAATTTTCTCTATTATTGTCTGTATTTGCATTTCTCGACAATCAACAATTTTAATGTCAAGACATTAAACGCAACTGACATAAAATCGAAAACGTGACATTTATATATCATATATTTTCTATCAACAATAATCTTTAAATAATAGCAATTCTATATTACAAATTGTATACAATCTGATAGACATTGTGAAATTCTATTCGGAAAAGTTTATTAAATGGACTTATAACTTCAAAACATATATATTCGCTTGGTAAGCTTTATTATTTCAAGCATGAAAATTCGATAAGCACAATATTTTTGAAACTATATATATATACAATAACAATCCTACGCAAATAGGATTTCAATTTTTCTTTCTTTCCTTTTTTTTAAATAAAAAATTGAAAACAAAAAAGAAATGGAAAAATAAAATTAAAAAAAAAAATAAATTCATCATCATGAGAAAAGAAATCAATGAAGCGTAAAATAGAAAAGACGGAGAGAGAAAAAAATAAAATTGTACATCCATTGATATATGAGTAATTTGAAGTGTTGATGGATCATTGTCGCGATACTTGTTATTAAAAATTTATAGAGAGTGTTTTGTTATAAATTTTTAGCTATAGAAAAATGGTTACAAGATTGTCATAAAGAAAAATTGTGTATTTATTTTGAACACATAAATCTTCATTCGTCACGTAATATAAAGTTTTATCGTTATTTTCACTGGTATTCGGTTTTTTAAATATTAAAAACCGAAAACTAAAATTTTTTTTTAATGTTTTTATAAAAAAATAATATGTATTAATAAAGAAAAACTAAGTGCGCAAGTATTTTACTGAAAATAGATTAATAGTATTTAGGATGATTAATCACTTTTAAAATTCTGGATCCTATATTCCACATTCCGTATTCCACTTTCCAGATCCCATATTGCGGATTCCATTTTTCACATTCCGTATTCGGGATTCCACTTTCAGAATGTAATACGAAATTTTGAAACTGGAATCCGGAATTTTAAAAATAGAATTCGGAATACGGAATGTGGGATCCAGAAAAAGTTACGTAATTGACCCCCTGTTTACCAAAAAGTGTACTAGAAAAATTATTAAATGTAAAATAAATTTTTATTTGTTCTCGCGTATTTTTTTTGAACATACTATAGGACATATATTTTGTGGAGTAATGACCCCTAAATTTGAAATGTTGTAGTTCCCCTATTTATATGTGACAGTGACTTAAATTGCTGACGGTTTTAAACGAAACAGAAGATTATCGGCAAAGATTGTGAAGGAGAGTGAGTATACAACAGAGCCAGGAACACCTTGAGCTTTAATTTTTCTTCCTCGTTGGCATGTGCGTGTTAGAAGGGGTCACGGTTATGATTCGCAATCGCTTTCTATATTCCCTCGAACCCCAAGGCGCGCCAGCAGTATATATACGACGCTACCTACTAACTCCTACACGCTTCTTAATTACTCGCACACGCCAAGTCAGGCCACGACGTGGCACGAAATTATAGCTGGAGGACGTAGGTCGTAGTTGGACTTGCTAACACGAACTGACACAATAGGAAACAGTGTCTTGGCTTAGTTTGCGCCGTTTTCCGTGTTATGCACCAACGGTTTAGACTGCGTTTAATCAACTGAGCATCTCACCCAAATTGTGCGGCTGTTACCATTACTGTTGTTCCTTCTACTGGTACTGATGCCTATACCTAGTGGTAAACCTACCGCTTTTCCTGTTGCTGCTACTGCTGCCGCTGCTGCGAGTCTCGAGATGGATTAAACTTTCGAGATATATATATATATATATATATATATATATGTTCTATGCAAGTTGTTCTTCCGCGATATAATTGCTTGCACTGGGTGAGATGCACAATTATTCCGTTCTACAATATATTATAGAAAAAGAGATGAAAAACATTTTATTTCCGTTTGAATTAACCTCGAATTTTATCATAAATAACAAATTTTAATTAATTAACTTAATTATATAATATTCTCTCTATGTTATACAAATATTTCACCGCTGTCTCTAGAATGGGTCATTTCATGTCAACTGTAACCAACCCGTATTTTTACCAAGGTTAGGTAAGGTTGGTTACTCTTGACATGGAATGACCTATATAAATAATCTAACGCGGCATTTTGTCGCATAAAAATGACTTAAAAATAATAAATTTAAATAAATTTTGTAAATAAACGACACCAGGATGGGAATCCAGTCATAATGACTGTAAAATGTTATAAAGTATAAAAAATTTTTTTATAATACTCACGTTATTTTGTTTAAATAATCAAATTCACGTATTAGCAAACCAACTTGTCAAAGTCGTTAGATTAATAGTCGACCTGTAATAAATAAATTCGATTCTGATTTGTTCTTTCGTTCTGTTATGAAAACTCTCGCGAGGCACTGAGGATTATCGCCGGGTCACAAAAACGTTGAGGACATCACTATCTATCATTGAAATTAGAAGTCATCAAGGGGAGAATTTCCTGGTTGTATATATTTGTATGAGAGTCCCGAATATTCAAGAACACCAGGAAGGCGAAATTGATGTTTTTTTGACGATCTGTTAAACTATTATTGGCAGTCAATTTCCTATGGATTTCTCGCATCAATCAATTAAACATCGGATAGTGCAGGGATCTACGTTACCGACGACTGCGTATCGATTATCGGTTGCGGATATTATATTATTAAACATTACACGGAGAGAAGAGTGTAGTGAATGTAACTACGCGCTGAGTAACAGTCACTAAACAATTTCGTTTGTTTTTGAATGACAAAACAAATGTTAATGTTAACTAAAATGTTGTCAGATGTACTAAACGAATAGTGAATTTGACATTAATGAATAGTGTTCCTTACAAAGGCGAGGTAAAACATACTAAAAATCGGTTACTAAACGTGTGATAGTCAAATTGACTGAAACTCTTCTCTCCGTGTAATTGATCTCAATGACATCGAGAAGAGAGGCCGCTGTTCAGCGACGCTTTCGAGTTTGACTCGTCAGCCATTTTACTCTCATTCTCATTCTGGTGTCCTTAGTGCAAACTTGGTTTTGTGCCTTTTTGTGAAATTAAATTTGAAATGTGATAAATTTATAATTTTTAGGACGAGGCGTCATCGTCGTCGTCAAATAGCCGGTGAGTCCCCAGTTATATATTATGAATCGTTTTTCTTCTAAATTTATCTAATTATTATTTAAAATAATAATAATTATTAAAATCAACTTGAATCTTGTTAGTCGGCCTTCTTCCCCTTTCTTTTAAATCAAAATTGAAGTGATTATTAAGAAATAGTGTAACTGTTATAAATTTTGTTTAATTAATGGTGTTCTGCCTTATCCCCCTCTCCGCGGTCTATTATTGCTGTCAAGTAATAATGGAATTCCTGAGTTGGATGTAGTTTTTCCTAAGTAGAATTCTAATGGAATTAAAAATATAATAATAAATAATTTAAATTTAAAATAAATTCAATAATAAATTAAAATCTACATTATAATACCTATATTAGTATTTTGGTTCTGATTTTAACTTCAAACCCACAGACGAATTGACGTAGAACGACCCATATATCTACCTATATTAGTATTGAATTCAACATAACCTCAAAATTCAAGGTCCTATGTCTCCAAGATTGAAGGTCATGGTAAAAAAATCTTAAAATTCAAGGGCATAAGGAATTCAAGGTCAGTGATCAAACATAATCTCAAAATTCTAGGGCATAAGTTTCTAGGATTCAAGGCCTTAGTTGAAACATAACCTCAAAATTTAGATAAAATTTTATTAATTTTAATACTTGCAAGCCTTTAAAAAATTAATCATTAAAGTGTAAATATATAAAAAAAATTAAGTTATTACTATTTTTCGTAGGTTTGTTTAAACTTTTTATTTTTTTTTCTAAAAACTTATGGAAAATTTTTCTTACACATTAACATGTAGGAAAAAAATTAATATTCAGGGAACTGAACATTTTATTTTCTAATGTATAAAAAATTGTCTGATTAGAGGACACTATTAAAAATGAGTTGAAATTTTTTCAACTTTTTTCGTACACTAATTTTTTTTTCAATATAAAAAAATAATTAAAACTTTACATCTCTGACAAAAAAAAAATTTCATCTACTTGGAAGAATGATGACAGAAAATCGATGTTAGTATTTCAAGTTAAGACTCATCCCACCAGAACTGTATTCCCTGATGAGACGCTAACCAATGTAGTCTGACTTAACGTTGACATTACTACTGAAGCTATATTCCGTACAATATTAAGACGTTTTCTTTCAATTTATCAAATTCACGGACAGAATAAATAATTAAATAAATAACGAAAGTAGATTTTATAAATATGATTTAAATATAATTATAATTATAGTAAAATACTAAAATAAAATTAAATGAAATTTTATGATTTTTACTATTACATATGGATGGTAAAATTAACATTTCAATCAACAAAACCAATAGAAATGGACTTATTTTAAAAAATTTTAATTTGTATGTCACGTCACCGTGACTTATTTAAAAATAAATAAAATTAAAATTAAATAAAAATAAAATTAAATTAAAAAATTCTTTTTCTTAACATAACATATATTTGGAATTTGGAAAATTCAACTAAAAATAAAGTTTAATGAAATTTTCACCACATAGTGAAAAATGTAATAAAGAAATTATTATTTGATTATTGTTCTTATTTGAAGTTACTAACAATAAAAGGTTTATTTTTTAGAGTGAAATTTGAGTGGACATGAAAGGCTGAGGTGAATGAAGAAAGAAATGTACAAAATAATGTCCCACGTTGAGAAACAAAAGGATTCCAGAATAAGGGAAGAACGGGAAATCCGGGTAAAGTCAACTATTCACCTGTTGGCTTTGTGGAGTGCGAAACTTAGTGAGGGAGTTCTCAGGATGCATGAAAGCCAACTCGTTAACTCCACTCGACGTCCCGTACTCGTTGGGGATCATAAGGATGACAGGAGCAAATAGTAAAAGCCCATAATTTTTAATCAGAGTTCACGACACAAATGCAAGGATTACGTTTTGTTGTCAGTTTGCGACAAGACAATTATTAATTCATTTTTTTTCAAAATTCTACTTATATTTATTAATTACAATAATTTCGAATTTTAATTAAATTTTTTTTAAATATTGTGTGTTGATATTATTTCGACTTTAGGGTCTAATAAAGTAATTATTATTAATAATTATTAGTAATTAAATACATAATTAATTAATTTATTATTAATTTATTATTTATTTATTATTAATTTAAGATAATTTTTTCTGAATTTGAAGTTCTACCACATTTAATTATACTGGCAGGCCTTGAATCAACTTTAAGGTACAAATAAAATCGTTTTAGTCAATTTACATTTTAAAAAAAGTCGATTTTTTTTATTTTATATAATTTTAATTATTAAATAAATATTTTACTTGAAATAACTAATGTTATTAGATATTAAATTCATTTTGTTAATTCCTTCATAAGAATAATTCCGTAGGAATATTATCAAGAAATTTTATTTCGATTATTTCAAAATCTAAGACAAAATTAATTAAAATTAAAAATTTTGTCATAATTTTCAGTTTTAATAGTCAAAAGATTTTTGAACAATAATTAAGTTTTACAGATTTTTAAATTAAATTTTTTTTTTTGAAATAATTGAATTGCAAAAAATTTTAAATAAATTTTCTGCAAATTTAAACTGATGTATTCTTTTTTATTTCTGACAAAAATTTAATTTTAGAGATTTTATTTGAAACATTTTTGAAAAATTGAATTTTTACATAAAAATTAAAATTAATAAAAATAATTGAATTGTGTTAGAATTACAGTTGGGATTTTTAGAAATAATTGAATTTTAACTGATTTTTTTAAATTTCAGACAGTAATTAAATTTTACAAAATTAAAAATAATTTATTAAATAATTTTAGATAAAATTGTTTAAAAGTAATAGAATTTTTAAAGACTTACAATTCAAATTTTAAAAAATAATTGAACTTCAAATGATTATTTAATAAAATTTTCGGTTATTTCTGTTGATGAAGAATTTATTAGAAATTGCAGACAAAAATTAAATTTAAAAAGATTTTTAATTGACCAATGCTTACAGATATAATTGACTTTTCGAATAATATATTATAAAAATAATTAAAAGTAATTGAATTTCAAAAGAGTTATAGTTAAAATTATTAAATTTCAGAAAGTTTTAGATGAAGAATTTTAGAAATAATTAAATTATAATTTTTGCAAATAATTGCATCTTAACTGATTTTGAATTAAAATTTTTTGGTTATTTTATTTTCTGATTAAAAAAAAAAATTTAATTAGCTACCTATTGAATTTTATAAAATCTTTAATTGAAAAATTGCTAAAATAGTTGAATTCGTGAAGAATTTCATTAAAATGATTTAAAATTGTTATTACTATTATTATTATTGTTATTATCATTATTATTATTATTATTATTATTATTATTATTATTATTATTATTATTATTATTATATACTTAAATACGTTAAGAAAATTAACGCTTTCTTAACGTTTTATTATTAAGCATTTTATATAAGCGCGCTTTTTTCGACCTATAAGAGTGTTGTCGTAGCGCAAGCGCAGTTACGTTTAGGTAGAGTCATTGGCAACTCTGCCCACACAACGACTTTTGTTGAAATATAATGGATTGTCCCATAAATAAAAAAAGCTTGTAATTTATGTATTATCGTATTTATAATATGATTCCAAATAATTATTTTAAAAGATGAATTTTTTTTCGGTATTACGAAACTGCTTTACTATTACCGAAAAAGCAATAACAGAAATTTCCGCAGTTTTGCGTTTATGAGAAAAATAAGCAAACAATGAACAAAGTCATTTTTCTGTCGATTGAAAAAAAAATTGTAGTTTTTAATGGGTTAATATGTCCAGTTGTCAAATGACCATACTACGATAGATGCTACCATAGATAAATGGCAATACATTCTCTGTGTATGTGTGTGAGAGAGGAGCCATTACGCCACTCTATTCACGTACTGTCGCTGCAAAAGCAATTCGGATATGAATACGAATGGATACTGGACGCGAACGCGAATAATGAATGCATGCATAGGGTTCGTGCTTCCGAGTGATCGCTTTCATCCAGAAGGCCATTTTAGAGAACAAATTTTAATGGCAATTTCATCGAGATATAGTCATTTCAAAAAAAATCAACTTCTTCTTTCTTACAATGTACACAAAATTTTGATCCACAGTTAAAAATACACTTGCAGTTTTAATAAATATTATGTAAAGAATTTACTCCTTTCAACGCAAACAACTTTAATAAAAATGAATTTTTAATTTTTGTTTGCGTTAAAAATCATTTTTAAGTTTTTGAGGTTATGTTAGGGCCTTTATCATCCTTAACTACGATTGACGAATACTTTTTTATGTTTATTTTTTAATGAAACATTATTTAAATAAAATGCATTTAAAAATATAAATTTTGTGAGAAAAATATATTTTAGAAATTTTTTTTTAAAAACGTGGATTTTATTAGAAAATAACTCTAAAAACAACGACACTGTGTATTTGTTAATTAATGTATGTTTAAATAATGTTTCATTAAAAAAGGAACATAAAAAAGTATTTTTCAACAATCGTAATTATAAAAATAATGTTTATAGTAGATGAAATTTCATTAATCTCGTTCTAAGAAACTTCGAGATAAAAATTGTTTACAGCATAACAAAAAACTGCTGCCAAGTTGAAGTATGAATTTTGTGTGTTCATTTTATGAACAATTTGCTTCCTTATGGAGATAATTAAATAAAAAAAATTATTGAAAATTAAATTATTTAATTGACAATAATTGTAAACAAAATTTTAAACCTTTTTTGACGAACACATTAAGTTATCAAAATCGTAGTTCATATGACAATGACGTTTTCAACAATTTTGTTTTTTAACAAATAATATATATTATTATATATATATTATATATAATATATATATACTAGGGGGGCACCACCGCCCTGCGCGCCAACCCCCTGTTTTTTATTGTTTTTGTAGATGTTTGAGTTAATGTTTAGCCAATTTCTGGAATTTAAAACTATTATTAATATTTTATTATTTAATTGTTTAAATGTTATTTACGATTTTTATTAACAATAATTTTTATTATTTTCAATTTAAAAACAAAATTTATCTAATTTGTTAAATTTTCCAGCTAAAATTTGACATACATTTAAGGTTATTTTCGTTTTTTGGTCATTTTCCTTCAAAGTTTAACAGAAATTTTGAGGTTAAGTTTGTTTCTTTGTCTTTTTGCCCTAAATTTTGGCCTATATTTTGAGGTTATGTTTGTTTTTGGTTGTTTCCCGCCAAAATAACTTAACCTTAAAATTTAACATAATATCAAAATTTAGGTCACTTTTGGCGGGAAATACGGAGAGAGGGGTGGACTTTCGGCTCTATTTGGTTTTGAAACGAACATAACCTCAAAATTTATGTCATTTTTGGCGGGAGAGGGAAGGAGAGAAAGAGAAGGGAGGGGGGAGGACTTGCGGCTCTATTCAGAATCTTGAAACGAACATAACCTCAAAATTTATGTCATTTTTGGCGGGAGAGGGAAGAAGAGAGAGAGAGAGAAGGGAGGGGGGAGGACTTGCGGCTCTATTCAGAGTCTTGAAACGAACATAACCTTAAAATTTAGGTCATTTTTTGCGAGGGAGGGTAGAGGGGGGAACTTGCGGCTATATTCATATGGGTCATTTCATATTTATTTTAATTTAAAATTGACTATAACTTGAAATTGATTGAAAATGTAAAAAAAGAAATTTTCTTTATTTATGAAGCATAAAATTTTCATAATGTGAATAAGTGAAAGGTTTCAGTAATCCATATAATCTAGAAATGATATATTATTAGAGTTTAAATTAAGAATTAAAAATAACTCTTAAAAATATCTTTTTTAAAAAATAAATTTAGAATTTTTTAATTTTCAATAACTTGTTAATTTCAAGCTGTATAAGGTTTGAAAATAGGTCGATCGATAAGTTTTTAAAGCGTCTATAAAATAGATGCTAAAAATTAAATTTTAAATGAAAATTTAATAACAAAACAAGATTAAAAGTCATGGTTTTAAATATTTTTTAATTTTGAAACATCAATAACTTCTTAATATTTCAATGGTTTACAAAATTTAAATAAAAATAAAGTTTTTATCTTTTATACAAACCATTATTTAACAAAAACGCATAACTTTTAAGAAAAAATCTAAAAATGTTAAATATTTATTATTTGACAACAAATTTTAACTTAAAATATTTTTTTCAAATTATGCAATGAAATCTTTCAAAATTTGGTGTAATAAATTTCAAATATACTTTTAACTTCTGTAAAAAATCATTTTTTAGTTTTAGGTTATGTTAAGGTGTTAAGTACACTTAAAGTTTGTATCCAATATATATAAGATTAAAAACTGTTAACTTTTAGACTGATTTCAGATAATCAAAAATTTTTTTTACTTGGGTCAGTTCACATGAACAAATTTTCCAAAATCTACATCATAACTTTAGTATATTTCCATATTTCCGAACCTGTGTATTTTCTACTTTGCATTTGCTCAAATTTGCATTTTCCTGAAACTTGCATATCCCCCCGATTTGTATTATTCCAAATTTGCATTTACGCTACTTTTCATTCCATTATCGTTGCTGCTCTTGCGAAATTTTAATTTCAGACATATATATAAAAAAGAACAAATCAAATACATAAGTAAAACAACTAAAATGAAAACATTAAAATCTGAAGTATAGAACACGACAAATGGAAAGAAAAACAGTTGAATAAATTGTCCATTTAACTAAAAGGATTGGTATCCATTCGAATATTACCAATATATTTTACTTTCATATAAAAACTGAATAACCTACACAAAAGTATTTTTCTTTGCAAAGTTTTTTTTTTGCCAAATATATAAACTTTTGAAAAAGGAGATGTAATTTTTCCCCAAAATTCAATGCCATCGTTC